ACAAAACAAAACACACATACACAACATTGTAAAATCAATACATTCATCGCTCCGCTCAAAATCTAAAAGTACATAAAAATGAATAATTCTAGTGGTTAGTTTTAAAACCTTATTGTAATTAGAGAATTTGTGTTGCTTTGAAAAAATGTATTTTCTTACTTCGTTGTCTGCAATGGATTTGGACCAAGACTTGTTCCGATGTCATGGCTTACGTTTATAGTTCTCTTAGTTTTTCATGTATTTTGAATTCTTAGAAGATGTGTTTGATTTTAATTGTGGTGCCACATGCTTAATTAAAATTTTATGGTAAGATAAGTGTCAACATWTTAAAATTTGAGACGAATAATGATCGATCTAAATAGTGAACTTTATAACGAAATAGGTTATTTTCAGATTCAGTATCGTTTATGTTAGTAAGTTCCACATAAGTATTAGGTACTTATGGTAAAGTACATGCATAGCAAGAAAATAATACCGAAGAATGATGAACTACCGTCAATRGGGGTACAAATATCTATGAAAAGTCATACCCCCTGTAAAATTATCCTAGGATATATTTAATATCACTAAATCTTATATGGGGTGACTAATATTCTAGGAATACGATACTCCATTTTTCAATAGTTAATAATATAAATTATTGTATAGTACCTACTAATCATTTATAAGTATTATTTAATGAAACATTATATTATGAATTTAATGTAAATACAATAATGTAAATAAATATTATAGAATAATAAACATGGTTTAAACTTTTAAGTATAAAATGAACTATTTCTATAAATTTATTATAATAGTTTAAACTACTTTACTTACCTATTTATTGAATGTAATAAATCTATATAAAGAAAAAGATAAATAGTAGTTATAAATATTTATAATTATCTACATTTATAAAATGCTATTTTAAAACTAAATAATAAATAAAAAAAACCTGCCTACATTTACTCTTACCACCTGTATTATTGTGTTGTTCACTTTTGATATAGGTAGTAAATAAAAAACAAATATTAGA